CAATCCTTTTCTTCATGAAAGTTATGCAGACTGAAAAGATGGCTCAGGCAGAGCTTAATGAAAGTTGCCTCTGATTGGCTCGTGGCTTGGTCATGCTTTTGCATCTTTGTGTGACTGGTTGAAAGAGAGTGGTGGTGATGCAGCAGCACCATCCCTTGTCTGTGAGCTTACGAAAATTAAGGCAAAATTGAAATCTCCAAATTGAGTTTGAATGTAGGACAGGAAGGAGACCATTACTGTGTGATTTTTTAATGATTTTTCCAGTACAGTACAGTGACGTTATTGAATTTTATCATTAATGAAAATCCATAAAAATTATGATCTCTGATGGTTGGGCAGAGTTCCATTGATGTACAGTACAGTATAGTGAAGTTATTGAAATTAATATTAATAAAAATACATAAAAATTCTGAAAAAGTTTAGTTTTTTGTCAAACTAACAGGTGTAGTATGATCAGCAGAACCTCTCTGATGGTTGGACAGAGTTTCATTGGTGTACAGTACAGTGAAGTTATTGAAATTAATATGAATAAAAATCCATAACAAAATATGAAAAAGTATATTTTGTGAAACCAAGTGTTGTAGTATGATCAGTAGGCGACAAGTGAGGGCTGTAGTGATTTTGGTGACACTGTAGTGAACACCAGTGACGTTATTAGATATTTTTGTAGTGGGTGTCTTCGCTGTAGCAGCAGTGTTGCAATTTGCAGACGGTCCCTGAGCTCTGGTCACACAGCCGGCTGCGCATAGAGACCAATGTTATTTCTGCTGCACGAAAAACAGCTGCTTTTGATGAAAACAATCGTGCAGTATATTGTCCACCTCAAACTGATGGTAAAGAGGCATAATTTGTGTGTTGATGACGTTTCGTTCAAGAGTTCTTGATGCCGGAAGTCCTAATCTGTGGATATCTTTCCAACTTTACCGAAGTCTCAAACGGCTGCACGTCTCTGCTGCAGGAGAGCTGCATGGATGGATGAGTAGGAGCATGGAATAGTTCGTTTCTTTTCTTCGATATAATTAAAGATATTTGCAGTAAGAATGGAGAGACGTACGTCGATCACTGTTGATAACATCGCAGGAAACCCCAAAACTTCCCTCAGTGGTCTGATGGAGTTTTGCGTGGAATCAGTCACCACCTGCTTCTCTCATGACGCAGACAAACTTTGCGTCCCCGTCGGCCTCACCTTCCTCTCTGCGCTGCTTTTACTGCTGTCATGTCTTCTGTAAGTACGTTTTTGATTCTGCCTCAGTCATTTAATAAAGATGCCGTGACGTTAAACTCTTGGTACCTGTTGCAGGATCGTGCGCCAGAGGTGCAAACATCGGGGAGAGAATCCAGGAGAAAGCCTCGTTCTCTTCTGCTGCGTCCTGGGTGACCTGTGCGGCGCCGTGGGAGCCATCCTGTCCAGACAGCTTCACATTCAGGTTGGCAGGTTTCTAACACAAGTGTTTCTCATCTTTTGCTTGCAGTAACATGTTGTGATCTTTGTCTTGCTGTCGTCTCTGTAGGTTTTAATGGGGGCTTTTGCTGCTGCTGTGGATGCTGTGAACTGTATTCTGTGCTGCTTCCAAGTCTTCCTGTGCTGGAACTCCAAAGCAGGTGAAATCTGAGAAATTTTAATTAACACAAACTGTATTATTCTCAGATAATCTAACAACTGTGAAATGTTTAGACAAAGTGCAGCAGGCTAGAACAGACGTTTCAGTATCAGCACGCAGCTGGTCAAACCCTTCAGGCAAAGCAGTCAGGAGACTTATCAGAGCGCCTCCACAGATAATCATACAAATTTCTAACTGTAGCTGTGTTCTCTGGCATTCTCTTCCAGAAAGGAGGCTGAGGATGGTGAGGAGGCGGAGGAGACAGCACCTCCTGGCAGTGTGTGTGCTGATGGTGGTTGCAGGAGGTTTTCTGAAAGCTGCTCAGCCTCCAGCGTCCGGGCCTCTGAGAGGGAGGAGGCTGCTGCATGTCCTTCCACAAGGCTCCACCTGGAGTCTGTTGATGGTGCAGTTGCACAGGGGCATGAATGTGGATGGTGATCTGTGGATGTGCTGAAATAGTTTGCATAGACGTACATTTACTCTGCAAACACACTGAGCAGCATCGACCGGGTCTGAAACTGTGTGTTCACTGACCGCTGCCATGCTGCAGATAGTTAAATGCAGTGCTGTATAATTTTAAATGCACAGTTTTATCTCAGTTTCTGTTTTGTGGATAACTATGAATGGCCTTCAGTTTGTTTAGATCAGGGATCTCAAACTCAACTTACCTGGGGGCTGCTGGAGATAGAGTCTGGGTGAGGCTGGGCCGCATCAAGTATTCCACAACTAAAGGGTTTCAAGTATTCAACAAAAAAAAGTCTAACTGATCCAGTCTTCTTAATCTTTATCAATAACAATTCTGAACATGAATGGTCTTCAGAACATAGACCTCTCATACCTACTCCTTTCTACCAGAGACCTGGCAGCACTTCCTCTCACACAGCTGAGCTACATTTGGCTTGAGGGAGAAAGCAATCGAGACCCTCAGTATGGCTTGAAGATGCTCATCAGTATGTTTAGACCTGTACTTTGACTTATTGAAGTTCATGCTGGAGAAGAGCTTTTCACACAGATAGAAAAAAGAAAAAAAAAAAAGAATGCATTTGCACTGGGTGATAGGATATATTTTCCCTCCACTTGGTGACACTCCCAAATCATGTTTCAAGTGACGAACATTGCACAACTGATAAAACAATAGAAAACGCCCAGGGCAACAACTCGCGTAGGTGCGTGTGAGAAAAATGCGCGGGCCGCACTAACATTAAACTTTGATATCAAGTAGGGGGCCACAAAATATCATCCCCTCAATTGGCCCCCGGGCCGTGAGTTTGAGATCCCTGGTTCAGATTAACTGTCCGTATATCTTAATGTATGTAACATTATAACGCCTTTAAACTGTTCTCCTAAAGGACAACACTGAAATCCTGGGTTACGTACTTGGCCTGCTGTCCTTTGTCATCGCCTGTAGCTCCAGGTTTCCTGCACTCTGCAGAGCAGTAAGTGACAAACATGAATAGAAACTGGCTTTCCAGCTTGAGGACAGCACATTTCATAGTACAAAAGGGAGCATACTGCTTAATTTACAGATTTTTATTGTTTATTGCAAACAGACTCACAATTCAACACCACTGTGTCTTCATCAGAGTAATTAAGCAGTGTGTTCCAGACCCCTTTATACTCTGAAATAACACTTGCTTTCCCCCCTAAAAATGTTCCCAGTGTTAAATCACTTGTACTTTTTCTCTCAAGTGCAGAGGACACATGATGTCTCGGGCCCACGTTTTCTCTGGACTGTGTTGCTCACTGGCTGGTGTCCTCTACACTGCAGCCATACTCCTCTATGACACTCACTCTGGGTTTCTTATGAGAGTCATGCCGTGGCTTCTGTCCTCGATCAGCTGTGCTGCCCTGGATCTCCTCGTATCCTTCAGTAGCGCAGTGTGACAGCGTCTTGCTCTGTCAGGAGATGGTTGCTTGCACTGTTTCCTATTGAAGCTGTTGCATGTTTGAAAGAGAAACATTCTCAGATGTTTGCAGTAACAGTGACAGGATGACTGACTAAATGGACTCCCACATGAATGTGATCTGCAAAAAAATGCACCGTAAACACAAATATTAAATGAAGCATTGGAATCCCACTAAAACCAGCAGCTAGATTTAGATCTCTTAGTTCGATTGAATGTATGTCAACTGTGTGTTCCATTCACCTTTAACCCAATATTTCCAGATCATAGTCACCCATTGTTGCAGGAGACAAACCAGGCAGCATTCTATGAGGTTTTCTCCAGACACAGAGAAACTTTTAGGTGTTTCTGGATTCCCCACTGAAGATAATGTCATTACTAGATGGAGAAAACAGAACATTCCTCTATCAAAAGTAAGTTTGAATATCTGCTGCATGTACAGGGTTCCTGCTTGCATATCTTAGACTCCGTTAGGAGACTTTGATTTCAGTGAGAATTCCCCGATGGATGATTTATTGTTTTAACATATTTAACATTGACAATATTTAGCTTTAAACTGTAGCAGCTTAGATGTGCATTACAGTAATGCAGGCATTGTTCTGCAAGATTTGTTTCGTTTACATAAAATCTATGTCTTTGTTTGAATATTGTAGTACTCAAAGACAAAAGATGTCCAGAAGATGACTGAGATGGGGCATTACATGGATGTCCATGTTCAGCCTACAAGAACAGTAAGCATAGGATCTGTTGTGGCTTTGAACAGCAGAAATGCACGTTTGATATGAAATGTTCATATTTGTTACATATTTTCTTCATATTATTCTTGCAGTGGTTGTGCTTTTTTCTTTTATCAGATGTCTCTGAAGGATGTGACCTTGTCCAAAGACGGAGTGGAGGATGAACCTTTCGACAGGATGGTGCGGGTGATCAGAGCCGGCAGTTTCTGCTCCACAGATACATCCTATGACTCTTCAGCGATCAGCTCTGATCTGGAGGTGGGTTGGACGTCTTAGTAAAATTATTTAAAGTTCCCGTGTGGTGAAGATCCACATTTATTGTGTTTTGTGGCTGTCATAAAGATGGAAAGTGAAAACTGTAGACTCTCCGCTTACAAGCCAGTCAGAATTTTACTGAGCTGCTACGCTCCAGCTGAGGAACCCAGAGTTGTCCCACTAAAACTTTGCATGATCTTGCTACCTCACTGCCCACTAGTTTCAGATATCCATTCAGAATGAACAGCTGCCTCACAGTCCGCCAGGTTTATTTACTTTCTAGAGCTGCTTCTGCTAAATCTGAAGTGTCTCAGCCACGAGCAAATCACACCAAATGTTCTGCTGTTGGCTGCAAGAGTGAATACAAGAGTCTTCATGCACTGCCAGCACCTGAGGAACCAAAGATCCGGTGGATTGCCCTTGTTTTTGATGGTCCCACAACAATCATGGCTAACAAGTATGGCTAACGTTACCATTAGCTCTGACCGTGCAAGGTGTGTCAGAAAGGTTCCGGGACTGGTGTCACAAAAGATATATTTCAAACCCAAACTACGAGTTTTCCCCTTCAGACGATCAACCAGCACGTCTACAAAGAGATCCTGCTTCGTTCAAGAAGAGGCGAGAGTTGTGGCAGGATTCATTCATTGAGGCTGCTTCACCATGACAACGCGCCTGCTCACAACGCCCTGAGCATCCCACAGTTTCTGGCTGAGAAGAACATCGCCGTGCTGGAGCAACCTCCCTACTCACCCCACCTGGCTCTGTGGGATTGTTTCCTCTTCCCCAAGCTCAAGGGGGTCATCAAGGGGACCCATTTTGAAGACGTGGACAACATCAAGATGGCTGTGACGACGGAGCTGTGGAGGATCCAGAAGAATCCTTTCAGGAGTGCATGGCGGCGTGAAGAGAAGGCTGGGGAAGTGTGTTAGACTCCGTGGGATTACTTCAAAGGAGAAAACTGGTAGTTTGTAGTTTGGATTAGAAATATATCTTTTGTGAAACCAGTCCTGAAACTTTTCTGACACACCTCGTATATCAACAGGTCAGAGCTCTGTGGAACTGTAAAGCTGAGGGACATTTAGAGATTTGAAACTTACAAACAAGGTCTGGTTATTGTGTTTTCATGTCACTTGTTGTGCTTCAGCGAAACCTCAAGTCAGCCAGTGGTTAAATCACTTTACTTCTCTCCTGCTCTCTATGCTCACATATACTATATTTTATTACAGCCAAATTCTCTATGAAGCTGCTCTCATTTACAAATGTATGTTTCTGTTGTCAGACAACAGAACTAGCATGAAATAGCGACTGAAACACAGTTGACGAAGACTACATGCTACCCAGCCACTTGCATAACTAAACTACAGATTTTTCTAACTGTAACATCGTCTGGCATCGTGCTGTAAATTCAGTGATGTTTCCTTGTAAAATTATCACTTAAATAAAAAGTTACAGTCGTAGTAAAATGAACCATCTTTGTGGTATTTTGAGCGGAAAAATGTAAAGACACATTCTGGAGACGAGAGACTTTCATTAACTTGCTGAGAAGGGGCCTTTAAATATGACGTGAACTTCAGCAAGCTGACCAATCAGAGCTGAAATGTAAAAAAAAAAAAAAATTTCCTCACTGCATACAATGCAAAATCTCCTCCTTTTCCTCCTTCTTAACCCCTCTGATTTGATGTTAAGCACACGATTATTTGATATTTCAAAGCAGGGTCCACACCATTTACTAATCTGTCTCGCATATACAAATGTGTTTCGGTTTTGTGCTTCCTGTTCTCTTGAAGTTGTGCCAATTGACACTGAATTCTGCAGTCTGTCAGTTATGACATTTTCTGGAACAGCCTTTTGCAAGTGTAGAAGTCTGTTTTGAGCAGTGATCTGAAGAAGACATCAGTCAGTGAATAAAGCTACAACATGCACTTTTCACAAAGGGCCACTGGGTGGCGACAGCGTGTTAATGGAGCAGATGGTGTGCGTGGCTGCTATTAAAATGTGAATGAATGTAGCTGGGTGTTTGCTGCTGTTTGCGCCCAGTCACCTTGTATGAACTGGACAAGACTGTGTTCAGCTTTTACTGCCTGTTTCTATAAGGTTATGTAACAAGTTTTTGCCTGCGCAATATGGCGCCGAAGTTCATGAAGAGGTGAAAGTTGAGAATGATGGTGTCTGATGAATGTTTGACTAACTGAGGGGATCTGCTGTTTTCTTTGTGACTGTTTCCTTGGATATAAACAGGAAAATTTGATGCCTAATGCGATTATGACCCATTGTCATAAGAATGCATGTACAGTATGAGTTGAAACTGTCATTATTGGATGAGACAGACAAAACTATGCTTATCGACTTTTGTTTTTAGTGCCACTGGATGTTCTTATCACTAATATAATAATGCAGTGTGTTATAGAGAAATACTATTGACTTGCCTGCATATTTAAATCCAGCAGACTGAAGATCTCATAAGAAGAAGTTGCAGTGAGGACAGTGTTTTTGCTGTTGCTTAGTGCTCTTCACATGTGACTCTGGGGGAAGTCAGTCAGAAGACAGCCGTCAGAGGTTCTTTTGAGAAGACAATAGTCAGCATGTTCTTGCAGGACGCTTGGATTGAACTCTATGGAGGGACGTGTATGTGCATGTGGGTTTGTGAGTAAAAGTGTAGGGTAGGGCAGGGTTTGTATTTTCACTTTGCTCTGCAGTGCACAACTGTGCCAAGAATCAAATACTGGCTACACTGAAAAACTCATCTTGTTGTTGAGGATAGTTCACATTTATATAGTTTTCCCTTTTCTGAACTGCACAGTTTGACTTTGCAGGGCAGAGTGAAATTACAAGCTTTTTCCTTCTCAGGCCTCGACGCTCACAACCACAAGAGAAACTCCCTGACTGTGCTGCTGCAGAAAGCCAAGCTATGGAGGATGTCATTTAATCAGAAACAAAGGCAAATGGTGCGGGCACAAACAATTGCAGGTTGATACTGTTCGCCGAACAGGAAAAAGCAAATGACGTGAATGCTCTTAGCCCACTTGGTGTGTTGGAGAAGTAAGAGGGATTTAAAAAAAGTGTCCAAAATGTACTTTGAATATTTGTTGTACTGGGTAAAGTACGCAACTTCATCTGTGTGTGAAAACTCTGTCTTTTCAGCTTTATCTAATCTCAGCTGTCATTGGCTGATGGAGGCCTGTTAGCCGTTACACAATATAAGAGACCAAACCAATGAACTTGTGATAAACCGCTTGGTCTGTGCTGATCAATACTGAGCAACTCTCTTATCTGGTCTTTTAAATCAAAATCTGCAGCAGGTCACCTCCTGCTGTCCCTCTCTGACAGTCTTCACTTGTTAGTTAGAATTAACAGAAGCTGTTTACTTGGTGATATAATGGAAAGATGGCTTCCTGACAAGTTGACTCTGTGTTTAATGTTTAATCCTCAATATACAGAAGTCCAGATGAGTTCAACACTGTTATTATATTAAACCCAGAGGTCAACTAACTGCTAAACCGCTTTAAAGCAAACCAAGGAAATGAAGAAAAAGAACATTGTCAGAATTATTCACATAAAAACATGTTGGCTACTTCGCATGATATCACCATAATCGCTTCTCAACCTTTGGAGTTTGCTGCATGTCTAAACCGAGCAGCCACCGCAGCCAGCAGCCTGAAATCTCTATTGTGCTGTGTGTTACTTGCACACTTCTGCTGAGGTCCGGTTCTTGGCTGGGGCGAGGCTGAGGGGTACAGTGATGGGTGGAATTGTTTGAGATTTGCCATGTGGCCCAATTGTTCTGCTGTAAAGGATCTGTGATTAAAGACCCACACAGGGCTGGGTCTGTCTGCTTAGGAAGTACTGCGAAATGGTTGCCTTGTCCATAGGGGGCCGGTGCTACCCTCTGCTATTTTAGGAGATGTTTATGGTCTCTTGTGTGATGCCTGTCAGCCAGGAATTTAACTGTGTGTGTGAACAATGTGAAGCCTTTTGTGCTGTAGGTGTTCAGTTGATGCTGTCGTAGTGTTTCATAACAAACTTTCAGGATCTTGAATGTTACAACTACCACTGCAAAATTGAATGAGGATCATGGAATCAGAAAACTAACACATGTTCCTGAGCTCCAAATAGAGAAGAGCTGCTTTACTAAAGTGGTAACTCTTCAGGACACCTTAAATATGTCATTTATAGTGCAATATTTAAAAAAATGGAGACCATTACATTAATGGGGACTTCTTTATTTTATATATATTATGACTAGTATTATTCATCTTTGTTTTGGGTTTTTTTTTAATTTACTTTTTTGGCCCGTTCACTTTCACTTCTGTAGTCCTCATGTTGTAATTTTTTGTTACTACATCTGTGTTCTTTTGTGTGTGGATGCATGTAAGCATGAGTGTGTGTATTATTTAGTTTCACATTATCTGTATTGACATATGAGAGTGTGTGTAGGTCCTGTATATGTTTGAACATATGATTGGAGGAATTAGTTTGGTTTATTTATTCATTTGGTTATACCAAACCAATTCATTTCTTATCTAAACTGGCAGCCAAGGGACCATCTTGTTACCCCCACATACATGATTTTGTAATATTTTGTACATAAAACTATTTTTAAAATGTATTTATTAAATTAAACTTTTTATAAATAGTCTCCACGGCATGTTAAACTAGTAATATTATCTACTTTTTACACTCAATATCAGCCCAGTAGAATATTACATATCATAACCCTTCTATACTGTAATTCTCCATAATAATAATTCGACCTCCTCGTGTTTTCAGTGGGATGTCGAAGCAGCAAACACACAGTGGAGGGAACCAACAGCCAAACGACATCAGGGGGATGAGTTTCCCCTACAGGAGTGGCCAACAAACCCCAAACCCTTCAACGTCTGCATGTGCTCCGTGCCTGGACTCCCACAGAAAACTCCAGAAGAGGGCGGCCCCGCTGTCAGCTCTGCTAAATGAACTCTCCTTCCCACAAGTCTGGTGCAGTCATTTGAGAATTAATAATAAAAAAGAAAAAGAACTGCAAACATTGACCTGTTGTTTGTTTTGTTTTGTTGCACAGATGTACAACTCAGAAAAAATGTGTAATGCACTACAACTGACCAGTGTTCGTGAAATTATGGTTTGGTTTTACTAAAGCTACCTTTTTCTCCAACTACAGCCAACATCAAACCCTCCCTGAGAATTCAGATCCGTCTGGAAAGTTTACAGAAAAGACCTTCCCTAATAAAACAGTATTACTCCCCTGCTGCCATTCAAGGTTATTGGGTCACATCCTGTATTTTGCTGGTCGACCTGGGTTATCAGGGCTGGACTGGGAAAAGGGCCGGCGGAGCAGATAAGCTGCAGACTAGACGTCCAGGGCTTGTCCGTTCCTCTCCATCATTCAGCGGACCTCTGTCCATCTGCCTGCACTGAGCCTTTACAAGATGATGCTGGAACAACACACAAGGGCATTTTTAACTGAAGGGACTTCCTGCGGCCTGATAACTAAACAATACACAGATTAGAGAGTAGTTATGAACCACATTTTACTCCTCCCTGTTACATTTCCTTGAGTGACGTGTCTGAGACAAATGACTGGGAAACAACTAATGAGATGTAACAAAGCAATTGCTGATATCAGCAGTAGATATTAATGTAACTTAACACCTTGTTCTGCCTGTAAACATGACCCAGGAGGTTGGACTGGGCCACATCTCATAGGTTTCTACTAAGTATTGTGTGATCTTATTATGTTAGTGGAGTCATTTCTGCTATATTTTAAAAACTATGAATTTTGGCAGTTCAAATGACCCAACTGTTTGGCAGAAAATAAATATTTAGATGCCACGTGTTACATAACCCTGGACAAATCGATTCCTTTCCACATTAGCTCGTTCATTTTGAGTGATTTCATGACATGACATCATCAGCCCGCTTGACTCTGGAAATACATCTGACATCTTCAGCCAACACTTCATATGCATTTATTTCTGTAACTGTTTTGCCTTTGACATGTCTGGGATGAGACAAATAGACTCTCAATGGAAAGTCCTTCAGTGGCTCTTACTGCTTGTAGGCTGATCTGTTGTTGGATAGGATCAATCATTACACACACACTGTCAGTTTAACTATTCCCTGAACTTTACTGCCACATTACTTTTGTAATCTATTTGTCTGTTGAGGATTTAACTGTTAACCATCTTATACACCAAAAATGCAAGTTGCTGTTTTAGGGCTGTGACCTTGTGACAAATGCTGAGCTAGCATTGCTCGATCTCTGGGCCTCATCTCTGTCCCTTCTGAGACTGGGCCAAAGGAAAACAAACTGTGCGTCCCACATAAAAAGGTGGAATTCTGTTTGCAGAAGTGATGGAGAGCCTGGATTAGCACATCTGAAGCAGCAGTGGGGAACAGGCCTTTCTGTTTTTCTTGGCCCGTGCGTCAATGATCACTCCACTGCAGAGGACATGGAAGATGCTGGATGATCTGTGCCTGCAGGACATTTTGTTCACCTTGCAAGTTAGCCAGAAGAGGAGGAGGGAGAGGGGGAATTGTTCAGGAATAACACAACAGTTGGAGTGAAAAGTGTTGAATAAATCAGAAAGTAGATGTGCATTAATGAATACACATACTGTAGCTGTCCCTGAGTAACTCTGAGTGAATGATTACATAATAGTGAGCTGCTTGACTGCTTTGTAAAAGAGACACTCCACTAATTTGACAAAAAGATCAGGACAGTTTTCTTGTCATAGTAACGTTATCTGAAGACACTTCAATGCCGTTTTCTGTGACTCTGGGGGAACCTTTTAAGTCTTTTATGTCCACTTGTGCAAGGCTTAACACTACAGTTTATTATGGAATGTGAAATATTACAAACTGGAGACATGAAGCTGTAAATGTGGACACGAGGTGTTCTCGCTTGCTTTATGAGAAATATACAATCTGGAATCTGTATATCTAGAGTTTATGAAGGTTGACGATCACACTCAGCTTTACAAATGTGCAAAAAGCCACTTTCATGAAACATTGCCTAAAGATATTTGCATATTTGCTTCGTGAAAACGGCTACATAAGAGGGTTTATAGTATACTGTGTACATCCTCTGTGACAGGGTATACACATGACATAGTAGTTTTTGTCCGAGTTTTGTAAGAACAAGGGCTATATACAGTCTATAGTCAAATCAACTCTGACTGATGATGACCGTGTCAGAAAACAGGCATTAGAGTCGTGCAAGTCAGAGTCTGGGCTGTGTTCATGAATTCTTTTAAGTCCTGAAGCTGTGTTAAAACCTGATTTGATAGATAAATAACGACTTATCTTCCACTAATAATTAAACAAAGGTTTATAACTGACTACACAGAAGTTTTTTCTATATTTATTACCATTTGTCATTTATGTTTGATCCTGGAAAACAAAGCTATGCTGTTCAGAGAAGCATTGAAGTGACATTTTCAGTCTGTTGTTACTACTTGCGGGATTTTGTTTGTCATCATTTTAAAAGTGATGACATTCAGAAAGTGGAGGGGTTAAAAAAAACTTAAAGGGAACTTAAATGAGTGGCCAATAGTAGGATGTGACCTGTATCCTACCACCCGTAAGTCATACTATGGTGTAATTAACCATCTTTGTAGTATATTTGAGCTGACAATTTTAAAGATACATTCTTGGGACACGTGAAACTTTATTTAATTTGTTGAAAAGCTGCATAATCTGGAACTTTCGCTTGAGGACAGTGACCTGCTTTGACCAGTAATCCAGTCTTGATAATGGTCACTTCTTAAAGGTCCAATATGGTGTAAATCCACTTTTACTGTTTAAACTTGAAGGTGAAAAACTAAAGGTGTTCAGATATAGAGACCATTACTTCTGCCATTCCTCAAGCTCCCCACAGCTAGTTAGCCTACTAGCTTTACCAGCCAGTATGGATTCAAATCAGGTGCTGTGTAACACCTAATTAGCCAATAGCAGTCAAGCAAAAACCATGAGACAGTTCTGGCTGTCAATCACAGATGCAGGCAATGTGTTCTTCCTGAAGGGGGTGGGACATCAGCAGCTCATTGGTTTTCAGAGCTAACCAGTGGGTTTAGAACAGCACTAAAACCAGTAGAGTAGAATAGCTTTATTGTCACTGTACATATTTGTACAACATTTGCTGTGCAGTGCCGAAATACAACACATCTGAAGTTGCACATAAACACGTACATCTGTCCATGTACGGAAGTAATTTATAAAATGAAAATTAACACAGCAACGAAAGCCAGGTGAATAGTGGTACAGGGCTGCCCGTTTATTATCATACCCTTGCACCAGGATGGAATTATGACTGTATCCGGGATATTCCAATAAGCGGGCTTTAAGATGTAAGTTTATATGTAAATCCAAAATGGGGATTTATACACAAGATCAAAGGGACAGTTTGTTTGAAGATCAAGAAATGTTTATTCAAACTGAGCTTTATGGTTTTGCTTCAGTGAAATTTCACCTTTGTCTGTATGATATGCCACCCCATCAATAAAAGTTATTTCCTTTAATCGGAGGGTATACAGAGGGTTAACTCATCGTGATTAACTAGCTGAGCAGTGACGACATGCTCTGCAACTATGCGATTCTCTCTGATGTGCCCTAATTAATGTCAGACAGGTTGTGAATCACTCAGTGAAGCAGATCTCAGGTGAGCAGCTAATCGACAAACAAACAAACACGTTGCCTTCCGTGGCTGACCGGGGTGTGATAGTCTGCCACACATGACCGATGCTAGGCCCGTGAGCCGCAACGATCGGCCGACCACGATTTTAAAAGGGCAAAAGTTATTCCTGGAATCAATTTCAGGGAATTTCGTTACGAAAAAAACCAGGATTATGACATTATTCTATGACAATAAATGGGCTGTTTCACTATAGGTTATACAGGAAATGATTCGGGACTTCAGTGTTTTTATGATTATAAATGGGATATTCTATAAAGCGGTTTGATATGGAAATATGGAAATTTTTAAACATAAATATAACCCTTTATGGGGCAAGTGACCATATTTGGTAACTTCCTGGGACGTGCAGTATGTCCAGCCTGTGCCTCTCCTTGAGGCTGAAGAACCATGTGCACTTTGATTGACCATATACTTTATTAATATCGATTTGCAACTTTTTTTTTTTAAGTCACAAAAGTAAAAACATCTTGAAATGTCCTTCAGTAACACCCTGGGCTTGAAATGTTCATTTTCCAAGTATTTCAAGGAGTGCCCTATAAAGGGTTAAGTAATCGTGCATTGTGAGATGTTTGCACATAATTAAAAGGGTTAATCCTGTGATCTGAAATATTGAGCCCTCAGCTCAGTGATTGCTCTTAGGCAGGAAAACTTTAATCTGTTTGGGATTTAAAGATGTCTTCCAGTCCGATTATGACTCTGTGAGGATTTATGTCGTTTTCTTGTGCACAGTTGTACAGTTATAAAGTAAAAAACTAAAAAGACACACCATGAGGAGCACAGTATGGGACCTTTAATTTGTAATCAGTTGCCTACATTTTTATTTTTTTATTATTATTTTTGGTTGGTTTTGGTGCAGTTACTGAGAAGACCTCCTTACCTTACCATAATTATTGTGGTCATTATGTGGTCGTTACACCTGACTGTGGACGCGCTCCCCCACCACTGCTCGTGTTTACACGCTCATCGTGCGTGGAGCTCCGTGATGTCACGACATGTCACTTCCTGGCGTCAGACAGCCAGTTGAGGCCAGTTCAGTGCCGCTGTAGTATCAGTCTGTCAACACACGGCAGCCTCCGCTCTGCTCGTTTGCCGCGACAACATTTTTCTATCCAACTTAGCCCGTTTTCCTCTTCAACGACGTTTTCCTTCAGATAACAGCGACTCTCTCCTCACTATGACTCGAAGGTGATCTTCAGAGTGTCCGGGTGGTTCTGGGTGAGTGACTTAATTTTCAGATATGTTCGCGGTTTGCCTACAACGCTGTCATCATCACCCATGTGTCAGTTGCTACCGAGCGCGGCTAAAGCTAGCTGATGCGTGTCCGGACGTCAGCCTCCTCCTTCCTGCGGTAGGGCAGGAAAACTACCCGGGGCTGCCGTCTGAGCACAGTTAAGCTCCGGTTTGGAGTAAAATCTAAAGCAGAACCCACAGCCGGAAGGCGCGCAGACGTTGTTAATAAGCTAAGTAGCGGGCTAACAATGAAGCTTGGCTAACGTTAGCCGGCTAGCAGACATCCAGCGATGTGTTCTCACCTACCCCGTGAAGCTCTTCCCCGGCAGCCCGGGGACCGGAGCCATGATTAACTGTCAGCAGTCTGTCACCCAACGCTGAGTCGTGTTGTTAACAATAGCTAGTGAGAATAAACCGGGGCAAATGTGCAGACTGCTATGACTTACACCCCTTCAGTGTGAAGATTGTCACATAAGTTGTCTTTTGAATCTCTCAGTGGCTTAATAAACTTTTCTTTGGTGCTCCGGGCTGCTAACACATATCAGAGCTGGTTGTCATTTCTTTAGTGATTGAAAAAGCACGACTAATCGGTTTAGCCTATTGGCCAACGCACCTCCTTTCTCTTGACAGCTTCATTCGTCTCAAACACCTGCCACGCTGATCTGGTTTCCATCTAGTCAGCTTCGTGAAATCATGAGTAAACTCATATTCACCTTACACGTGTGTGTGTGTAGATCCTCAGTCATCCAGTTCATGGTAATCCTAGGAGCTTCAGCAAAAAGACGGTTCACCTCTCATTTAAGACCTGAAAGGCTGAAGAAGCCTCTGGGATGAGAGGCTAAATGTCTTCAAAAACCTAAAAAAAAAAAGGAAGTGGCTTTTTACTGAAGCTTCTAGGTTCACCGTACACATAATAAACACATCTAGTAGAACCTCAGTGTTAGGTTTAATTCAAATAACTGGAAAAAGCTCTTTCACAAGTAAATACTGTTCCTTGAAAGAGTGTCAACTTGTAATTTGACTAATGTTATGATAGTGTTTCATCACAGTGCGTGTCATAAGGTCTCCTGGTAGAAGAAAAACACGTTTGGTAATTTCTTTGTAAACTCTAATCATATATAGTAATGCACATGAGTGAACAACATATAGATGATCAATTACATGTAAGCTTTATTTAAAGGGAGTCAAAGATAATCACATTGTATATGACGTATGTCGCTTTAATACAGTATGAACCTCAGATGACCAATTTAGCATTCACATGACTTTACAGCATTCACTGTTTTTTATATGCTGCATTACACAGTGGAATGTGTGCAACTTGCAGCCAGTGCTAACCAGCAAATACGTGTAAAGGACTGGTGGGGGAAAAAAATTATCCTGGAAAATATCAAAACTAGTCCGATCGGTCTGGAAAAACTGGACTGGCTCCCTGCTCGTTGAGAAGTCTTGTCGCAATCATAAGTGTCTCCTGTTAGAAAACCAAATCTTTACAAATGGTTTCGCTGTAGAATAGATTTAAGATACAGACTAATTGATTGCATGTATCAGTGCTAGTTTACGAGAGAAAAGTTTTGGCTCATATGTATTGGAAATGTGAACTCTCCTTTTTCTTCTTACTCTCCTTTATTTAACTTTAAAAAGTTCTTTGCACCATTAAATATTCAAACTGTCACCGCGAACGAAATGTACGCCTTTGTGAATATGTGGTTTATTTGTTCTTAATTTAGCTCAATTTGTGAATACTTACTGTCACAAAGTAAAGTTTCTTGACCCAGAGGGGCTGTCTGCGCAAAGCTTGTGACTGCATGCTGCTGAAGTGGATTTCATTAATTGAGACTGCTGTTTGTTAATTTGTGCCGTGGCATGACTGGCATACCCAGATCACAGAAGGTTTCAGTAAACAAAGGATCAGAAAGGTATTTGGCTTTATTTATTCGGCTTTGTTATTGTGTTTTATTGTTTTCTGTGGCCGGCTATTTTATTTGTACAGCACTTGGGTTCAGCTCTTGGTGGTTTTAAATGTGCTTTATAAATACATTTGACTTTGACTTAATGCAGCCAATGTCGATCAATTGAAAAGTGTCCCGATCCAGTTCCAGTTTCTTTGTGTAGCACAGATATGTATCACGAAGAGCAGCTGAGGACGCATTTATTCATTGTTTATTCACTTTTTCTGTTCATCTATTAACAGAGACGGTGGTGCCTCATCTTCCATGTTTTCCGTGCTGCCAGAGTGAGACTTAACAGATAATTAGTGTAGCTTTATTGAAAATGTGACCTTTGCGATAAGAGCAATGATATTCACAACATTTCTTTTATGTGTTTTTTTTTCAGTTGATATGAAGAAAAGTTTCCAGCATTCATAACCTGTGTAGCCTTTGAACAATATAGTATTCGTTAACCACAGAGCTTTCTATAGTAATTTGACTGTGAGGTTACAAAACAAAGGAAGAGTGTGAACCAGTGTGCGAATAAGAGATCTGTATGTTGAATTTGTGGTCTGTTCATGTCGGAAAAGAGGAACACTTAAGAACATTTCTGAATTTCTGATTATCTCAGGCTGTGCATGCAGGACAGTCAGACAAATGTGAGAACTGGTGAGTCACAAAGTCCTCATATTTCACAATCCATATATAAGTAAACCATCCACAATTTTGACTGACAAGTGTCTTTCGAAAGCTCCACAGTTAATACTGTAGCCGATATGAGTATAAATTCATTTGTTAATTGAAAATGGCTGCAGAGAAATCAGTTCCTGGAATCAAGGAACTAAGAAGCTGAACTTGCCCTTTTCACCTCTGAACTTGCTTTTTCTCTGTGGGAGAGCTTGAGGTCTTGTCAAAGTGTGCATTTGGAAGCGTTTTAGTCTCAGTTTAAGAAGTGAGGCGCCAATATTCCACTGGCCTTTGAGCCAGTGCCTCAAGACTTTTCACAGGTGAGCTTAAAGACATCAGGCTGTGATGGAAGGCCTGCCAGTGTTGATTCAGAGTGCAGATGAGAAATATCCTGACATGGTATAAGTCCTCTCAGCAGCCCAGCTCTGTTTGGTGTGGGAGCCTCAGAGCAGCGTGATAGAGAAACAGATCTTTCTTGTGCTGATATAGCGGTTTGCCTCCAGTAAGACCAGGACAAGCCAGCGGGCCGCATCACTGAGAGTGAGAACACTTTCAATAAAAATAGAAACAACTGTAAAAATTTGTCAGAGTAATGCAAACCTGAGAATACAGGTGTCCTGTTGATTTTTAGATGTTACAGAGGACTTTTAAGGCATTGCATAGCCGTGCACCTAAAACTTGTGAATTCCTTACAAACTTGCAGCCTGAGGTCGTGTTTAAACACATCTTCACGATGTACCTTTTACAAACAAAAATTACTGCTAGTTGGTTGTCAGATGCGTTTATGACAGGTAGAGCAGGTCATCATTTGTAGTTTTTGTGGCATGTCCCACACTGTTGACTTTAGTTGGCCCTTATCAGCAGCTGTTTGGACAGTTGAACATGTTGAATGGTCAGAATCTGCGACAGTAAGCTCAGGACAGAGATCTGGATAGAGTCCTCCTTGAAATGATATTGATGCTCACGAAGTGGCTTGAGCTCAAGTTCTATTCAAGCAGCCATTTGTACATGTCTTTCACAAACCTGGTAAAAAAAAAAATAAAAAAATCAAAACAACTGATGACAGCATCCTAGTCAGTGAGACCACTAATCCATCTGGCATTATGACTAGCGCAGTCTCATACTTGTTGCGTTGTGAGTCCCACAGTAGTGTCTTTGGAAATGCTGAGCGGATATTGTGTAGCAAGAAGCAACTGCTAAAAATATGCCTCTTATTATTTATCTGTGACCTCACTGAGCAAAACATACAGGGCACACTTTGAAAATAACCTGAAAAAAACCTCAATTTGCTCTATTAGCTTGTCGCATGATATCAGAGCACATTTGCCAAACAGCCCAAAGATAATACCTGTCTGGGACACGGAGTTATATTTATTTCCATTCACCATTTCTCATTTGGGAGTAGTCAAGCAAATTTAGGCTAATTTACATCTATCGTCTTGATTTGGCCTCATACAAAGATGCAGCTTGTGAAATAATGAAACTTTGAATAGTTTAGTAAGCTCAGGGTCATTATGTACCAGTTAGCAGCTCTGTGAAGTAAAAATGTGTTTTAATCCCTCACACAGTGGTAAAAACAGTTTTTCGTGGACTGTCCAGCAGTGCCACTGTTAATCCCAGAGCATGTGGCCTGACTTAAAACTTAGCATACTTTTGATCTGTAGGATTAAAGTTTTTCCCAGCCCTTTCCCTTCAGTTTTTCTTCTCATAGTGTTTCCTGTGTTGAACTCTTTTTTTTTTTTTTGTCTTCCACTTTCTGATCATGTTAAATCACTTGCCCCTCTACATGGATAATAGCAGCCTGTCATTTCTACAGGTGTCATGACAATACAGTGACGCAAATAGTGCTCGTGTTGGTTGACAGATGACTGGTTGGCTAGCTTACACATGGTTGGTACTGGAAAAACAGCCTCATGTGTTGAGAGCTCTGAGCCAGGTATGTGCACAGGTAGCTTAGATGCCTCAAAACAGGTGCCACATCAGATGTAGAAAGGTTTTTAAGACATATGGATTTCTGAGCAGAGACTGGCTTCAGCTAACAGATTATAAGTGTTACCTTGGCTTGAGTCATTTGTTGCTTTAACCTGAGCAGCAAGAGTCACTCAGCACCAAATAGGAGGAGTAGACTGGTTGTACAGTTTATAAAGTAGCGAGCCACTTTGTCTAGAAAATGTAAAAGCTGCATGTCCACCCATCAGCCATAATTTTAAGACGTCCTACCTGAATCTGTGTAGCCAAAATAGCTCTGACCTGTCGAGAAACGGACTCCTCAGACCTCTGACGGTGTTCTGTGGTATCAGGCACCGAGACATTATCAGCAGATCTTTTGAGGCCTAGAAGTTGCGAGGTGACTCCTCCATGGATCAG